TTCACTGATTCCATTGCTTGTCCCCAAAGGGGATTGACCACATCTGCCTTGTCATGTATCAATTCACCACCCAGTGGTGCGGATCCAGCCAATCTGTCTGCCTGTTCATTACCCACCACGCCGACATCGCCTGGAGAAAAGGTGCAAAGTATTCTCACCACCCGTGACCTTTCCAGTGAAGCTTGCACTCTGCTCGAAGCATCCCTGTCTTCACGTTTTTCAACATGCTTTCAGAGTCTGTTACAATTTCTAGGAATAATCTGATTTAGCTGATAGTTTTAGCTTCTTTGGCCACCTGGAGGCTTTAGTTTGTGTAACTTCCTGGAAGCGTTAACTTGTGTAGTCACATGATGATTTCGTTTGTGTATCTGCGTCACAGATTTAACTTACGCAGCTACATTATAGTTTTGAAAGTTACACCCCCCCCCCCACCCTTCCCTCCAACACGACCATTTCCCCGCCTTCTGATCTGTTTTGTTTCGAAACATCTCTTCGAATCCTCCATATTTTTTCCTACTACTATCTGTTTTTATAGCTGACCTCTAAAAAAAGGTAAAGTCGGGAGATGTGAACCAGCGTCGTTGCACACGGTTATAAACCATAAGTGCTCTGCCATCAGTAGGGACAGCTTTCAAGAATTGTCCGCCTGTGTCGCCGTACGCACGTAACTCTGTAGTTACAGCGAGGTTCCTCCATTCTCCCCAGAATGTCAACTCTGGTACCCATTTTCTAGAGACTGGGTGAACTCCGGAAGCCGCCCGGTTTCGAACACCGACCGTGGGCTGCAGCGAGTCGCATCTGGATTTGAAAGCCTCTTATCGACTGCGCTAACGCGACCCCCGTAGCTGACCTCTACTTCGATACAAAGATGTGTGCAAGGGGGCATGAGTGATACAGGTACTGAGGAGGACATGGGGAGAGCTACATGCGATAGCAAAGGATATAGAACGAGACTTGACGTGAGTTGTGAGGGCCTATGCTCTGTTGTGTATGCCATGGACTGTGTTGCGTGGAGGGGAATGAGAAGGAAGAAATGATTGCAGAAAGAATGAGAGCTGAGCGTCTGAGAAGAAACTTGAAAGTTGGCAACAACGGTTCTGAAATCCCTTGCTATAACTGCAGGCGAAAGTCCCATGTCTTTTCACAAGCAGAATATAGCACTATTGTCTGGAAAGACGGAAAGGTCCAGCCAGCTTTGTCTGGCCTGCCTCAATACGCTCAGAAGAAAGGCAAGAACTCTGCGCCTGGCTGCTGAGGATGAGGACGGAAAATACATGGGAATGCACTGAGTGAAGTCAATCTTTACTCAACGTGTTTACCTCACCAACGTTCCAGTTATTGATACCATTCATTCATTCATTCAGTAGCATGTCCCTAAAAAAAAAAAAAGACGATTGGAACCCTCGCTGCCATAACCAACCCTCCGGAAAACCTTCCTATCCTGAGCAAGATGTCCTGCGTCTGATACACCCATCTGGAGATCATCTGCCCATCCTGCACCCATCTTCTCCTTGGCCTTCCTCTTCCTCTCTTCCCAGGCATATACACCTCCATTATTATTCTCTCTAGACTTCCATGACGTTTCAAGTGACCAAATATTTCAATTTTCTTTGTTATATTGTCTTTACTAGCCAACCCTCTTCAATATTCAGCTCTGTGAAGTATGGATGCATTTGTTCTTTTCTTCACCCAAGATATTCTTAGAACCCTGTCTGTAACATTTATATTCAAATGCATTTATGCGCTGGTGCCGCTTGTTTAGTAAGTGCCAGGTCTCACAGGCGTATGTTGCAATGGGAAAGATGCATGCTCTTAAAAATCTGACCTTTGTAGTTCTATCTGTACAATTCCATAATTTATTCAGTTGTTTTAGTCTTTGAAGAGCAATTGATAGTCGCCGTTTAATTTCCTTTCATTGGTCACCATTGTTGGTAACCAGTGACCCAAGATATTCGAAATTTCCACCACTTCCAATCTTTCCTCATTAACATATATTTCCTTCTCCATGGCAGTTTTGTTTGTATGCATTATCTTTGTTTTTGCTATGTTAAGAAATAAGTTATGATTTTCACTATTTCTTTGGAGTGAGGTTAATAAGTTTTCTAAACCATTTTGTGATGTTGATAGTAAATACTGTATCATCAGCATAACGAATTTCTGGTATTTCATGACCACCGATGTTTAGGGCATCATATTGTTCCTTGATTATATCATCTCTTACATTTCTCATTATATTTTCGGCGTACAGGTTGAACAAATATGGGTGACAGCACACATCCCTGACGGACTCCTTGCTTGATGCCAAACCAGTCTGATGTCTCTCCATCTATTCTGGACTGCTGCTTGTTGGTCTTGATAGAGCATTTTAATGAGCTGCACTATATGTGATGGAAAGCCCACATTCCTCATGATTTCCCAAAGCTTCTGATGTTGTACACAGTCAAATGCTTTTGAAGAATCCACAAAACATAAGAACAGATTTACATTAAATTCTCTACACTTCTCTATTATTAAACGCATGTTGAATATATGATCTCTGTTCCTCTTCCCTGTCTAAATCCCAGCCTGAGCTATCATTAATATCTCTTCTTCCATTTCTTATGCAGTCTTCTCATTATAATTTTTAGTTAGAATTTTACTTGCCATGACTGATCAGGGCAATAGTTCGATAGTTTGTACATAATTTTCAGTTCACCCTTTTTGGTATTGGAATGAAGGANGGGAAGACAGACCGAGCCATAGATACTTTGAAAACTTTGCTTTGGATTTAAAAAAAGTTTATGTTGCTTCAGAAAGGCCTTAATTTTCAGTCTGCAGTGCAAAGGGCTTTCCCGGAGTACATAATCATTTCATTTTTTTGACCTTTCCCGCCCCCCCGGGGGCAATCATAAGTGCAGTCAGACGACCTGTTCCTCTGGTTACACCCAGGTGCCTCATTATCTCCAGGCCATAATATTCTTTTTCTTTTTTTTTTTCCCACTGATTCCATTGCTTGTCCCCAAAGGGGATTGACCACATCTGCCTTGTAATGTATCAATTCACCACCCAGTGGTGCGGATCCAGCCAATCTGTCTGCCTGTTCACTACCCACCATGCCGGCATAGCCGGGAGAAAAGGTGCAAAGTATGCTGACCACCCGTGACCTTTCCAGTGAAGCTTGCACTCTGCTCGAAGCATCCCTGTCTTCACGTTTTTCAGCATGCTTTCAGAGTCTGTTACAATTTCTAGGAATAATCTGATTTAGCTGATAGTTTTAACTTCTGTAGCCACCCGGAGGCTTTAGTTTGTGTAACTTCCTGGAAGAGTTAACTTGTGTAGTCACATGATGATTTCGTTTGTGTATCTGCGTCACAGATTTAACTTACGCAGCTACATTATAGTTTTGAAAGTTACACCCCCCCCCCCCACCCTTTCCCTCCACCACGACCATTTCCCCGCCTTCTAATCTGTTTTTTTTTCGAAACATCTCTTCGAATCCTCCATATTTTTTCCTACTACTATCTGTTTTTATAGCTGACCTCTAAAAAAAAGCTAAAGTCGGGAGATGTGAACCAGCGTCATTGCACACGGTTATAAACCATAAGTGCTCTGCCACCAGTACGGACAGCTTTTGAGAATTGTCCGCCTGTGTCGCCGTACGCACGTAACTCTGTAGCTACAGCGACGTTCCTCCATTTTCCCCAGAATGTCAACTCTGATACCCATTTCCTAGAGACTGGGTGAACCCCGGAAGCCGCCCGGTTTCGAACACCGACCGTGGGCTGCAGCGAGTCGCATCTGGATTTGAAAGCCTCTTATCGACTGCGCTAACGCGACCCCCGTAGCTGACCTCTACTTCGATACAAAGATGTGTGCAAGGGGGCATGAGTGATACAGGTACTGAGGAGGACATGGGGAGAGCTACATGCGATAGCAAAGTATAGAACGTCTTGACGTGAGTTGGTTGAGGGCCTATGCTCTGTTTGTGTATGCCATGGACTGTGTTGCGTGGAGGGAATGAGAAGGAAGAAATGATTGCAGAAAGAATGAGAGCTGAGCGTCTGAGAAGAAACTTGAAAGTTGGCAACAACGGTTCTGAAATCCCTTGCTATAACTGCAGGCGAAAGTCCCATGTCTTTTCACAGCAGAATATAGCACTATTGTCTGGAAAGACGGAAAGGTGCCAGCCAGCTTGTCTGGCCTGCTCAATACGCTCAGAAGGAAGGCAAGAACTTTGCGCTGGCTGCTGAGGATGAGGACGGAAAATACATGGGAATGCCCTGAGTGAAGTCAATTCTTTACTCAACGTGTTTACCTCACCAACGTTCAGTTATTGATACCAGTTTGTAAAATAATAATTTTAACATAATGAATTTATTATAAAATTATTTTGCAATTGATATAATCTATTAACATTAAAATACTTGCAACTCAAAATTAAAGAGTATAAATAACTTGTAGTAACATATTACCACATGCAATTGTTCTTTTGTTTTTAAATTCTATGTTAATAACACTGTTGCTTCTCATTTCGTAGGTGAAATTGCTAAGCTAAGTGGTTTTGTGTATTTGTGTGGTATTGCTGTGTGTGCTGAAAAAGGCTCAATAACCGCAACGTTCACGTTTTGTCTATATAAATAAATAAACGTGCCTAGTTGACCATGTTCTTAGTGCACTTGTATCCATGGCGAGGCGCAGACTCCGTCTGGAGGTGACTGGTTCAATTCCCGGCACGGCAACTGTAGCTTTCGATTTTCATGTTGTCTAATGTGTTCTTCTATCTTTCTACTTCTTTCTATGAGTGCCCATCAATACACTTTCTGTTACTTGATTATTTCATAACGTTTTGTTTGTGAAGCTTGCTGATTATACTTTTCGTTCGGTGTTATATCGTTCCTTGATATTCTCATTTTGAAAAGTTTGCCACACAATGTGGAAAAATCTGGCTTCCGTGTCTCAAATTTGTTTGTGTCATTCTCTCTTCATTTATCAACTAATTCTACTTCTGGCCATTGGTTACGATGAAAGAATCCGTGGATGTTGAAATGAAGGAAGCGTCAACTTCTGAAGTGACAAAGCCAGAAGAGGCAGAGAAAGAAGAAGAGAAAAAGGATCCCGAGCTTTTGACTTTAGAAGGTAATCCTAATTGAAGCTAAACGTTAATTACCTGTTATCGATAACAAATGCCAGTTTATCCTGTTTAGTAGGGAATGTATAAATTGAGCTGCGAGAATGCATCAGGCTCACCCATTTGGACTAACTTACTTCGTAACTGTCGGGAGCCCTAATATAACTGGTGTAAACTGTTGATCGGCGTTTGTGGGACTTGCTCTTTTTGGATTGTGGTTATACTAACAGTAACTCATTCCATGAGTAGTGGCTATTTTTTGACAATTGATTTTATTTTTAGTTCTCCTTGCAACTACGGCCACATATTGGGGGAGTACGCCGGAGTTCAGTCCCCTGGCCGCATTGCAATTACGGAATGGAGAAGGCACGAATCACACACCCTATGATGACAGCAGTGCACTGCACCCAACCCTAACCCTATGATGACAGCAGTGCACTGCACGCTGTCTATCACCAACACACACTAATTACGTCATTTGTTTCGTTCCCTCTTTTCCACTCCATAATTGCAATGCGGCCAGGGAACTGAACTCCGGCGTACTCCCCCAATAAGTGGCCGTAGTTGCAAGGAGAGCCTTATTTTTAATAAGTCACTCACACTGGACGTTCAACTTTCACAACATACTAGCACTACTGGAAAAAAAGCATTTTTTTTAAATCGTGAATCTTTGACAGTTTGTGAATAGCCAAGGCACTTGAATAGTTTTAAAGTAGAAGAACTACCCCGGCATTATGGCGGCCAAACAAATATCCTAACAGGGCCTCAGTCCTATGAAAAATATGCTGACTTCTCAGACTTCCTGCCGAGCGGCAAAACTAGGATCAGCTCCGTATAACGAAACAAATGCTCTAACAGGGTCTCAGCGATATGGTAATTGTAAACCTGTTTCTGTAACTATGCCTCACCGCCGACTGTATCCACCGCGACGCGGATGAGGGCTAAACTAGATGGCTGGGACTCACGAGCAGCAGCTACTGCATCTCCTGCAACTTCCTCCAATTTATTTGCTCGTGAGTCCCAGGCATTTAGTTTAGCCCCCCATCCGCGCTGCACGTAGCGGCGCGGGGAATACTGTCTGCGGTGAGTGTAACCATGTTTTGCGCATGCCGAAAAGTTTGAGGATAACAACGATGCTAATCTGATTTGGAGTGTGTTGTCTCCCCGCCATGTCGCTTTTATCGTCTGTAATGTTGCGTTTTTCTAAATTTTCAATGGTCGCTAGTATCGTATGCAGAAACGTTTTAAAGTGTCAACGGTTGCTACTATCGTCTGCAGTGTTGTGTTTCTTGAAATTGTCAGGTAATCCTAGTTTTGCCGCGATTTGTTCGTCGCCGGAAGTTGTATATTTTTAATAGGACTGAGGCCCTGTTAAGATATTTGTTTGGCCGCCATAATGCCGGGGTAGAAGTTCAGAGGAAAGCCGATTATTATATTTAAAATACGAAAACCAATATGATTGTGAGTACATTTTTCTCACCAACATTGCCAACATTAATTTGTTCAATTACAGGCGGACATTAAGTCAACTAATTGTGCTCTAAGCATTTTTTTAGTTAAATTGGACATGTCTGAGGGGGTTGAAATAAATAACGCTATAGGAGAAAATGAATTCTGGTCTGAACAGGTTAACGTAGCGTAGTGACTAGAGGAAGGATAAGGAGACAAGCATTTCACATAGTCGTAAGGAGTAACTTATAAGCTTACAGTGAGTTGCTTGGTACTGAAAGAGTTAAGACAAGCATTTCACATAAGGAGTAACTAAGCAATCTTCAAAGTAACAGTCCCGAATTATCGAGGCCAAAATTATACCCTAACAGGGCAGTCACATGTCAGTTATGGACTTCCGGTGACTTAAATTGCGCAATTCTGGCAACTTCCACCACCGCCGAGAGTTATGCGCGGCATGGATTGGGGCTAAACTAGATGGCTGGGACTCACGAGCAGCAGCTACCGCATCTCCTGCAGCTTCCTTCATTTTATTTGCTCACAAGGGAGATACTCTCGGTGGTGGGAGTATAGTCCCAGGAAGTCCGCAATTTGGCGGTGGTGGTATAGTTCCCCGGAAGTCCACAATTGACATGTGACTGAGGCCATGTTAGGTTATATTTTCGGCCTCGATAATTTGGGACCGTTATTCGGAAGATAGCCTTAACTAATAAGCTTACAGTGAGTTGCTTGGTACTGAAAGAGTTAATCATTAATGTTATCAAATTATCCCCGTGTGGGTTCTGGGGCAACCTTGTGGGGAAAACTAGAATAGACCCACTGCCTTCTTAGCAAACATGTCATTGTCATAGGAGTTGAATAACTGGGGACTTCCTTAGAAGTCAAAGTGCATCTGCCCAAGCTGCAAGGAACAGCCAACTGCACAAAGTAAAACTGAAACGGAGGTACATAAAAAAACTCAGGCCCTGGCACAAAGCTAAAGTCAAAATGTACGAAACAACTTGGACTTTCCGCCGGAGCTTACAGGTGGTAAAGAAAGAAGATCAGTGTTGTCACATTTAGATTGAAAGCGCAAATGACAGAAGAAAAGAATTGAAGAAAAAATAGGGCCGCCCATTTTGAATGTAACATGAAAAGATAGTGATAAATTATGTCAGGAATAAAATAGGACTTTCAACCAATCGCCATGATCCTGTCATACCGCTATATGTCAGATAGGGATTGCATTGAATTATTCCATTCTGTCCTGTGTGATTGTTTAGGTATCATGGATAGAATCCAGTCCAGAACCTTTGGCTTGTCTCATCTACTTCTGTCTTCGTGTTTCTCTTGGCTTTCCTTGTTTTTTAAATCCAGTTGCTTCTCATTTAAGTGATTTTTTTTTGGTGGTGATTCCCTCTTTGCTTCTCAGGATGTTTCAAATATATAACCATTTTATTTGTGTCAAAACTGTTGACCCAGCAGTGCACCAGACATTTCTTTGTCTTCTCTTTTCTTGAATTCATTCATCCTGTATAATGTTCATCGATTTCATTAGTCATTTAACATCACCATTGTTGACAGTATTTACAGAAACACATTAAAACAGGTGGCTTTGTCATGTAAGTGTGTTTGGCTAAATCATTTTAAACCCTTTTTGTGGTTTTCTTCTTCAAAACTCTGTATCAGGGGGCTGCGTGGTTCTTGAGGTATGGCATCTGCCTTGAGTGCTGGAGGTCCCGGATTTAAAGCCCATGTGAAGGCTGTTTTTTTCCCCCACAGAAACTTCTAGTATTTACTCCTTGTCCCTGGGTAGTAAGATCGGATGCCCGTGTATATTGTTGCACACGTTTAAAAAAAATCCTTGACAGTTGGAAATCGAAAAGAGTATCCTGACGGCTGCCTGGACAAAATTTAGAGTTGAAAAATCTACCCACTTTTTCATGATCCTCGCAGGTGCAACGGAGTTCGTGCACTGTGCTGAGAAACTTCTAACTCAGCTTGAGTTAGAAGTAGAACAGGGCACTTATGGGTTACTACCCTTGTGCCATGATGTTAATCTACTGACTTAACTCAAAATAAAACTCTGTACCAGCTTCTTCTTGATCGCGTTTTGTTGTTGTTGTTGCCTCTATCAGATATCAGAGAACATGTTCGTCACATTGAGAAAGCTGTGTCAACTAAAGAGCCCCGGTTCATGTCTCGAGTCATTCGGGCGCTGGTTAATGTACGAAGAAAGTTGAATCCACGAGTACTGTGCTCGCTCATGAAAGGCTACTTTACTGCACCAAATGTGTTGAACAGGGAGGAGCTGTTACCTTTTCTGGCAGATGTAAGTACTGGGGTGTACATTCTTGGCATGTTGTCTGCATTTGTGTGTGTAATCACTTTTGTCTTTCTATGCTGTTGGTAGCATGGTTTCATAAAACATCAAAGGATCAAATGGTTTAGTCATCTGGTCAGAATGGAACAAAATCTAGAGCATACAACATGAGAACAGCAGGCTACAAGACAAGAGACCGACCAATAAAGAGATGTAATAAAAGAGACACTGCAGAAACACAATATGACACTAAGACAAGCTACATAACGAGCAAAAGAAAGAAGCTACATATAACTCCTCTCTGCGACGCTTTGCGACATAAGCAGTAGGACAAAAGAAGGCGGTGGCATTATTCTTGTTGGACCAGTGCTACAAAGCTTGCTGCAGTTATTTCCAGTCATTTTTTGGGCATATTGTTTTTCTTTTTCTTCACTTTCTCTTTGAGTGTTGGGGGAGATATAAGTTTTTTTTTTGTGTGTGTGGCTTTTCTGGCTGCCTTGATGATAGACATATTGTGCTTTTGTAGAGTTTCTCTGTTATCTTTCCATCTCATTCTTGGTCTACCTCACGCCATGCTCTTTGTCCATCTCTTTTCTTGTATGCATTGAATAGGATGGTGTCACAAGTTATTCTTTTGTATGTAATTTAGAATTGGTTATGTGCCAACTTTTTCTCTTATGACCTCATTCTTGATTTGATCTTTTCTGGTCACTCCTGCAGTCCTTCTAAGACATCTTATTTCTATGGTTACTATTTTTCTTTTCTGGTTTGTTGTGAGTGATCCTGTCTGGCACTGTTAGCATGCATTTGGAATAAATAGACTTTGTATGAGATGTTTCTTGTGTTGATTGGGATTGTCCTATGTTGTATTTTTTTTTTTAAAGGGGGAGGGGGCGGGGTGTCTAGATGTTCCAACACTTGGTGAGTGTGCTTTACTGCATCGGATGCTAATTTCTTATTCTAATTTACCATCATCAGTGCATGTTGTTCCCAGATATTTTAACTCAGATGCCTGTTTAAGGCTTTTACACTCTCATGCTATATTTACATTCTGCTTCCTTCTGCCTATTGGGCATGTTATAAGAGGGAAACTAGGACAAATGTGACCACTAGGAAGACTATGGAAAAAGAAATGAGAGAAAAACAGAAGTATTTCAGCACATGAGCTGAGAGATGCTGATGAAGATCGCAGGTTATGGAGAGGTATGATGGCCAACGCCAGTCAGCAAGGTACTTGATGTTGTAGCTGTAGATACCCATAGAGAGGGCTGGTAATTGCTGGTGTTATTGTTTGTTGACAATTGTGCATCTCTAAAATGACAGCAGTATGTTCACTAGTAATGATGGGAATATTACATTGTGTGCCTAGATCTCTCTGTGTCTCTCTCTCACCACAATATTTAAAAAAAAAGCCTTAAGGAATGTCTTTTTGTGACGGATGTGACTGCATTCAGACCCTTACCAGACTTGTCCACCGTCTGCTGACATCCTGGTTTTTCAAGATAACACGGTTTTATATCCAGAAAGCAGTGGCAAACTATTGAACATAAAAGTTGCCTTGTAAACCCATAAACAGATGACAAATGCTGTGCAACATTCTGTATTGTTACGCTACCACTGTGTGGCTTAGCTTGTGGATTTTAATGCTAGGTATTCTTATTGATTATGAAATATACATAGTGTTTTGTTTATATGTCATTGTATTCAGCAGGGGAGAAATATTGTAGTGTTTTAATTTATCAGTTTCTGTTTTCAGGGCCAGAGTGAGGGGGGTATGAATGGAGTCTCTGGTGTCTTTCGTCCTCGCTCAGGCAAACTGGCTCAGATTCCTATCGTCCCAGAAATTGAGATTTACATCCATTTGCTTGTTCTGATTTACCTGATTGACACAAAACAGTTTGAGAGGGTACGTTTTAGCTGTTTAAATGACGTTTAAAATCGTTGAATGTAGAGAGAATAGAGTGGCTCACCCATATGTTACAAAGGTCGTTGATGAAGCAAAAAGTAGTACTGCAAAGCTAAGGAGTGTTGGAGTTAAAAGGCATATTGCAAGACAGTTGCCTAGGTAATAAATAGAATTATCAGGTTGCTTCAGGGGCTGAAATACTTGATTTTGAGTGAATATTTTTCTATATTGGTTCCGGGGCCCCATTGTTTGGGGGGAAGGTTAAAAGACCCACCCCCACAAGCATGTCAGATAAGGCGATTAATTAGGGGTTTGCTGAACTTGGATGTGTTGGTCTGAATGGAGCAGATATCACAACCTAGCTGTTAACCGCAACATAATGTGCCAACCACAATTTCAAAAGTGAAAGAAGTAAAGAATGGATAGTTAGTGGCTAATGCAGAATTATCATACAATGGGCGAACTGCTGGATGTGCAGACTGCCCTAATGTATAAGACAGGAAATACTTTCTGATAATTTCAGAAAGTCTCTGTGTGTGTTTCAGCGCCCCATTTGTGAGTGGTGCAAATGTTGGGGGGGGGGGGGGGGGGGGGGGACTCACTGCCACAATAAACCGACAAGCATGTCATAGGAGATGACTAATTAGGTGTTTCCTTCTAAGTCAGGGTGCATCTACCTGAGAGATGAGGAACCCACAGTCAGTATACAAATAAATCAAATCCGTAAAACAGATGTGTATCGACTCAAGTTTTTGAACAAGATCCAGAAGTGGGTGAACAGCCAAAACCTTTTACCCGAGTTTACAGACCGTGAACACTAAGAAAAAGATTTCAGAAAGGCACTTGCTATCAGTATTTCAAACTTAAAATTTATCCAAGATCAGGCATCCTAGACTGATTGTTCCTGTGTTTTTAAAAATTGTGTTATAACGTGATACCAGTTTAATCATTCAGAAATTGCTTTGGAACCCAGGTTGACCCACCCTAAAATGGGTACCAGGTGAAGTCCAAGGAAGCAGAGGTGGCTGGCAGGATGTTGACCACATTGCCCATCAAGGGCCGATTTATCTATACAAATGTCAGTCTAGTAGCATCATATGCATGATCCGCATATTGTCGTGTAAAGCATCCTTTTTTTTTTTTTTTTTTAAAAACCATTTTGATCATACCTGACAACTTGAACAGGAAAAAGTTTGTTAACCCTGCATTTTGATCTGTACAAGTGCATTAAGTTACTCTTTTTAATGCTGAGAGATATCATTATTATCATGTGCCCTGCCAACTGGCGTAGGCGCTCATGCGTCTCCACAGATCATGACCCCTGGTTGACTGGAACAGCACTCATGATGATATCCCTCCATGCCATCATTTTAGCCCATCCAGCATCATCTCTCTTGGTGATTCAGTCTGTGTTTTCTGATGAGATTTCTTGGGAAAATAATGTGGTGGTTTCCCGTTGTCTTCCACATCCACATGGGGTATTTTAACCTGCACCTTGGACAATAATTTCTGACTGTCAGGACAAGTGGGTGCCCATCTCTACCCAGCTGCGGAGTCATCCACATTTTCCGGAGAGATATACATGTGTTTAAAGACGTTTTCTTAAAAAATGAAAAAGATCATCATAAATCAAACCTAGTAAGCGTTTGAAGGACAAGGGTTTATGACATATTAGTGTATTTCTGTAGTTGTGATCTATCGATATCCTCTTCATGTGGCTGTTGACACTTAAGGCATTCACAAGTGATCTCCATTGCTGCTGTTCTGCCCATGGTATCCCTTCATTTCCAGTTCTATTGTCCTTCTCTAGGTTTCCTTAGGTCGTTCACGTCTCCTTTTCCCATCTGCTGTCCACCGGAGAGCTGTTTTTGCCAGAGTGTCACAATGCATTCTGCAAACATGTCCAAGCCATCTCCATCGTCTTTCTTTGATAACATTTGCCAGTAATGCACATTCTGTTTTCCTTCCTCAGTTCCTTCACTTGTGATCTTGTTTGGCCAAAATATTCATAGAATTCTCCTTAAACATTTTTTTGTGAAACGTCTCAAGTTCATGTGTAATTCCCGCTGTCATTTTCCAACATTCACAGTTGTATAATAGTATTCCTAAAATGTTGCTCTTGTATATTCTGAGTTTTGTCTTCAAACTAAAACCCTTTGACTTCTATATATTGTTACGCATGGCAAATGCTTGATTTGCTTTGTTTATTCTTGATGTTACATCCTTTTCAGAATTTAGTTGTGATAATCATGATATAAATATTTATAGGTGACAATTTTGTTTCTCTATATTTATGTGTGTGTGGGGTGAATTATGAACTTTTTGTTTTTATCGGTATGGGTAACATATTATATCATAAAAGATTACTTTGATCAAATCAGTTTTAATACACAGTAACTATTGTTCATAAATTATTAATTAAATTGCTAATTCTGGAATCTACACCATCAGGCAGTGGAGTGTTCAGAGCTGCTTATGAAAAAGTTGACTGTACAAAATAGACGTACAATGGACATGTTGTCTGCCAAGTGCTACTTCTACTACTCAAGGGCATATGAACTAACAAACAGACTGGATGTCATACGGACGTAGGTTTCATGTTTTGGTTTTCCCAGTTTACATTGTGTTTGCTCATTGTTGTTTGCTACTGGTGTTGTTTTATTATTATAATTTATAAGACTACTATTTCTGTGCGGTAGTGTAGTGGGTTAATCTGAGATAAGAACCCGCATTACAGCACTCAGGTCATTCCCATAAGTGCTTCATCCCCATCTTCAGCAACCAGCTGATGTTACCAGTAGAAGTCTGATCATATGTGCATCTTGCCTTTCCTCTGAGTGTAGAATTTCAGCCAGATCTCCTAGTCACTCTCCCTGCACCATCCTCTTCACACTAATGATTTATTCAGGCTTCCACCTTAGATGTTGACATCATCTAGATTAACATGCATCAATTCATCACTTATTGGTGTAGCAACAGCCAGTCTATCTTCCTTTTCTTTTCCCCAAACATCTGCAGTGGATAATATAAAAAGTAAATTTATCTATTGCACATCGTACTCACTGGATTAAATATTTGCCTTTTGATCCACTGGTCATGTATTCAAAGGCAAGGTGACCTAGCCCCCAAAAAGATGGTGCCTGAAAATGTTCTGGAATGTGGACGCAGTCCGCATATTGACCACATCACTCATCAAGTGCTGATGGTCAGTAAACATGGACTATATATATAGCATATGTGCCTCAAGGTAATAGAAGAAAGCTCTTTGCTTCATATTTCTTACCATTAGTATGGAGCACTGCTGAATATAGTTTATTGTTAAACTGAGGTCTGCTTAAAAGTATAGCAGTGGCTGGAAGGAAAGGAATTTAAGGAAGGAAAGGCAACAGATCTTACTATAACCAATAGATCATCATTACTATCACCTAATGTTCGTTAGTTAGTTAGTCGACAGTTTATACTTATTGCACATCAGACCATTTAATCTGCTATCTGCTCATTTTACACCCTCTGCTACCTAGAAAAAACTTCTAGTCAACAGTGGTGGTGGACAGTTGTGATTTTTTCGTGACCACGTGATTTTTATGCAAAAGATGAAGTTGTCATCTTTTGCATGTAATTATCTGTGCCGGGATTACAATCTAGTATGTGAAGACCTAACACTTGATATGTCTAAAGTGATATCTCATTAATTACTTTTTGTCCTTGCTGTTGCAATGCTGAAAATGTTTGAATGGGAAACAGCAAGTACAGGAACTGATCATCCCTACTTCCTATCATAGCCTATTATATGTGAAAGCCTAACACTTCATTTCTCTAAGGAAATAGGTGCCAAGGGTCTAACAGCTCTTTTAATGTTGCTCTTATGCTTACTAGTTTGTGCTGATGATAATTATTGTGCTTTTTTTCTTATTCTGAATTCGCTTTTAAAAGGGTGGTTGGCATGCTGTGTTGTGGTTTACAGATAGGCTGCAATATTTGCACCTTGTAACCCATTTGAATTTGGCAAATCCTTTATTAGGTCCTTTTATGACCTGCTTTTTAGTGGGTCTGTTCTATTTTTCCCACCAAAAGGGTCTTGAACCCACTTGGAAGTTTATATTCTGTAGTCATTCAAGCATTATCTTGATTTGATGTTGCCTAATTCTGGCCTCATGTTTACTTTATACCCTTGATATAATCATGATTGTTTTTTCCCCACTCAGGTAAAAGTCCTGGGAAGTAAAGGCTGTCGGGGTGATGCTGGCCACATCACCCATCAAGTGCCGATTGATCTGTAAAGTATAGGTCTAGCCCTATATGCCCAGCATGCTTGAAAAGGGGTCCTTTTCTATTTGTCAAATAATTTCTTTATGTTCATTTACCTTACCTAGGCTCCTCCATGCTAGACTTCGAACTGCAACCTTGCACTCAGATTGTGAAGGGCAGGCCACTCTGTTGAACCTGCTGCTAAGGAACTACCTTCACTACAACCTGTATGAACAGGCAGATAAGCTGGTGTCCAAATCAGCTTTTCCTGAAAGTGCATCTAACAATGAATGGGCCAGATTCTTGTACTATTTAGGTCAGTACTTTTTCTTTGAACACCATTTTTAGGTTAAGGCTATTTATTTTATGCACAATTTTAACATATGTGAATCCTGGACAGTCTGTATTTAAACAAGCCATTCAATTTCTTGCAACCTTACAGCTGTGCTTTTACAGAATCAGTTACCCAGATATTTGGAAAGAGGTGAGGGCTTGAAGACAGGTTACCACAAACTTCAGAAGTAACAGTCATCATTTTTGGGGTGGGGGGAGGGGCATGTTATGAGAAAATGGAAACAGGAACATATTATGACCACTGGAAAGATTTGTAGAAAGAGAAATAGATGGAGAGAAGGTTCTTTAAAAGCCTTTAATTGTGGTATTAGAGGGAGGGACTTATGAGCCCATTAACTTATACATGCTTTTAGATATGTTATGGATATGTATGATATCCCACACCAGTCAGCAGGGCACTTGATGATGATTATCTTGTGCAAAAAAAAAAAAGTGGAGATTTAAAGGATTTTGAAACAAGTTAGGCACCTTGATTTTACAAATTTGACTTTTCACCAGAACCTTTTGTTTGTATTTTTTTTTCATTCAAAAAATTGTTTATGTGTATGTGTGGCTTAGTTCTATCTGCCATGTTACATACTTTTTCAAAGTAATTTCCGGTGGCTTTTTCCTTTTTTTTTTTTTTTTTAATTGCCTGATATGTAAATACACAGTGTCTTGATTTGCTGGGTTTGTGGGAAGAAATGCTGTAGCCTTGAAACACATTGATCAGCCATAGAACTAAAGTTGTGGTGTCTTAGGTCAATAGGTCAGTTTGGTACCATTATGGATCAAACTGCATTTATTGAGCTGTAAAATTCTTTTTTCTGCATTCACCATTAGAATTGCGCTTTGCAGTTTATGTTAGAATTTACATCAAGTCTGGGATATCTACACCTTTCAGTCATCTTTTACAGAATGTTTTTGATTTGTTTGTTTGTTTGGGAGGGAGATAAAGGGAGAGAATGTTGGCAGGGAGATAGAGGGAGAGAATGTTGGGAGGGAGATAGAGGGGGAGAATGTATCTGTCCTTAGAACTCACACAGTGACTATTGTTTTGTTATTGGCTTTGTGTATACAAGATACATGAAAGTAATACTGTTAAACTGAAAGACAAGATAAAATGAACATATGATCTGTTGCAGGTCGTATTAAGGCTGCCCAGTTGGAGTACTCTGAAGCCCACAAGCACTTACTACAGGCTATGAGGAAAGCCCCCCAGCACAGTGCTGTAGGCTTTAAACAGATGGTGAGTTTGTAGAAATGGTTGGTTTTGGCTGTGCACATACAGGCTTAGTTAAACAGTACTTAAGGGTTTGACCCTTGGTATAGGTACAGGAACACGGGAGAGAGTTTGTAGCAGATATTCCTTGAATGGGATGTGCAAAACTGAGTGGTGCTTTTAAGCGCAGTCTGATCCAACATACAGAGGACAGTAATAAAATGCAGTGGCTTGCTGTGGGGTTTACTTCATCTTACGGATGCCGAAACTGGCGGATTGTCATTCTCACATAGGACTACATTTTCACTAGAGGTGCTGACAGGTGCCTGCCTAGTGGAACAACTCTAGTCCTGCAAGATTGAAAGAGGTCTATTACTACTACAGTAAGGTTTATAGGAATGCCATCGACAGATAAGGTAAGAAGGATTTTTTGACAGAAATTAAGTCGGGAAGAGAACTGATCAGTTGTTTCAGAAGACAAGTCTGCATTATTTTATCCCTTTATGAGAATGGAAAAGCTGGAGTATGTTTTGACAGTGAGAATGATGGAAGGGGATGGAGACCAAGGTAAAAGAAGTTGGACGTTTAGTATCATAGCATTGAAGAGCATCAATATCAGTAATGGTTGTCAGTATACAGGACAGAAGGCTTTGGAAAGATTTGTTTACCAACATAATATGATAAGGGCTATGAGAAGAAGATATATAAATAGTCGATAAAGTTTTAGAAATACTTGAGTTGGGATTCAAAGAGAAAGTCTTAAAAGTACAGTACTGTTGTAATCTTGAAATTCTTCTATGCTCAATGTTATTGTGAACAAAGAGTTTACTGAAAGTTGGAAGGAAAACTTACATAGTGAGGTCACAGTGATTGTTATTTAGGTTGAACTTAGGAATCTAATGCAGCATGTTTGATCATTGGAATGTGGATGTAGAACAGAAATTACAAAAGACATGCGAATATCACAAAGATGAAAGATAAAATTGCAGAGAACACATGAACAATGTAATATCTTGGAAGCTGAAGTATTTTGCCACATCAGACGTCACCATTGTTTGTTTAGATAAGCATAGCATGTTTCCTGGATGACAAACTGGCCACAGTGGGAATGGGCATAAAGACTTCTTCGCGTTCACCAGCTGTAAACTCTGGTAGAAAGTTTTGGTTGTTCGTCCACTTCTGGACTGCAGTCCTGTTCCAGAACCTGAGTGTTGCATGTGCATCCGTTTGACAGATCTGACTCATTTGTATGCATATTGCTGGTTCCTTGCCTCTCAGGCAGATGCACTGCGACTTCGAAGGAAGCTCCCAATTAGTAGACTCTTAAGACATGCTTTTGGGTAGGCAGTGGGTCTGTTCTTGTTTTCCCTATAATAAGGCCCCGCAACCGACACAGGGAACAAAGACATCTGATGCGGAAAAATAGAAACGCGCTGAGAGTATTTCCAGTAAGCTGGGGTTAAGCTTAGTTCTCTACAAAAGATTTGCTACATAATGATGTACCCATCAGATCGTTTTTTTTTTAAATGAATAAGTTTAAAGCTTGAACTACTAACCATAACATCTGATCATTTTTTATTTAGTACAGTGTGAGGCTTTAACTACTGACAGTGCTTATGTGTGTTCTAAGGTTCAGAAACTGGCCATTACTGTGGAGTTACTGCTTGGAGAGATCCCTGATAGGTCTGTGTTCAGACAGCCATCCATGAGGAAAACCCTGGCTCCCTACTTCCAGCTGACACAAGGTAGGCAGCACATGTACTCTTGGGTATTTTATGTTATTCCTGACATGTTTATGGGTTTGTGTCGTCTGAACATTCAAGGTATGAGATGACAGTAGACTTTGCCTTTACCCTTTCTTTACAATTCCCAGAAAATGATGTGGTATGACTACTGTGTGTCTCCACCTTGATGAGGTCGGGGGGCTTATGTGTTCCAGTAAGCCCAACAGCTATTCTAACAGTAGCACCAACTTACTGGCTGGTAGGTTTTCCTGGGTCAACATATCAGGCAATGAAAAAACCAGAGAAAGAGAGCCACAGTCATGCTGCCCTAAAGGTAGACTTTGGGCGCTGCGGGGAGTTGCCAGGGGATCTGGCCGACGCTCAGCGTACAAGGGAAGGACGAGACTTACATGCAAACAGATAGTTACTGGTACCATCGGAATTGGAACTCTTTGCTTGCTGCTGAAGATGGGGATAGAGGTGTGCTAGGTGCTGTGATGTTGATTCTTAATTCAGCATTCCACAGGTAGACTGGGGATGGTCAGCAGCTAGAGAAAGAAGCAAACCAAGGAAAATACGTATCCAGATCAGATGTATTTAGCTGCAGACAATCATAGGAGAGGTGTAGTTTTTCTTTAGAAGGTTAAGAATGTTCCAGGCATAAAAGAAAACACTGAGACTTTAGGTGCTGCAGTGATTCAAGAACCTTCGTTGAAACCAAAAGAAAAGGTAAATTAAAGCGGGATATTTTCAGAAAAAGTGAAATAAAGAGGTTATTTGGGGGGGGGGGGGGATTATAAACATGAGAGACAAGCGGAAGACATGTATGTGGAATGTTTATACAGCTAGGCAACAGATAATAATATAAGCAACATTAACTTTGTCAACCAGTCAGATAACAGAGAGGTTTGGAGAGTCATGATCACCTCTATCTGCTCTAGACCCAGACACCTAAAGAAGATCTTTGCTTCATGTTTTGTAGTTGAAAGGTGGCAAAGAAACAGGCTAATCACCTTTGGTTGGTTGCTTTCTTTATTTCCCACGACGGCAATTGGCTAGCAGGGTGGGACAGTATTTGGATCTGTCTCCTTTGATGGGATGATACCTTTATTAGAACACTGCTGGGGTCCTTTTTAGGACTCTTGGTGGTGTGCAGTGTTAAGCCATTTTATATGGTACAAATAACCAAACACAATTATAATTTAAAGCTAACCCTTCGGGGATGCTAGTTGACTGTGACGACCCCCACACAACCCCCCCCCCCCCCCCCCACCACCCCTTTTACCCTAAAAATCTACCTACCTATTTTTCCAGACAGTAGTATTTTTGTGTGCTAGAGGGATGTATGGGATTCACTGCCCATGTTGTTGGCCAGCATGACTAACCTGTCTTGCTTACTGTAAGAAAATCACGTCTTGCTTAATTGGTCCTTATAATCAGTATATACATATGAAACATATATATAGCTTTTGGCAAGATCCTTGCAGAAGTGTGTGCTTCAAAATAATGTATATTTTTAATATGAATGTATAGGATTGTTGCTTCATAAGCTGTTTGGTGTCTGTTTATAGCAGTGAGAGGAGGCAACCTGCAGAAGTTCAGCGAAACACTGGCCAAATATGGCAGCAAATTTCAGTCCGAGAACACCTACACACTGATTGTCCGCTTGCGCCATAACGTCATCAAGACTGGCGTGAGGATGATCAGTCTCAGCTATTCACGCATCTCCCTCCAGGACATCGCCTACAGGCTCACCTTGGACAGTCCAGAAGATGCAGAGTTCATTGTAGCTAAGGTATGCTTTCTTGTTTTTTTTTAGATTTGTTTTCTTTTTTCTTTCAGTATTTGTGCATGCTATCCTGAGAGCTGACGAATTATGGCCGTGTTGAATGTCATGGTGGCCTGGAGACAACGGTGATGAAGGGTGCAGTTTCAGAAAAACAAGCCTGCGCAGTTCATGGCAACTGCACCAGCCATGCAGCTTTAACCCCTGACCTACACGGCCCATAGGCAGCAGCCATGGTGTAGGGGCTAGACGCTCGCCTGCGGATCAGAAAATCATAGGTTTAAGTCCACACATTGCTGGATTTGTATTCAAGCATGACTTTGGCTTCTAGGTCAATCCAGCTTTAAATGGGCATCAGATAAATTCCTGGGGAAATAAGGGTGACTGATGTGATGCTGACCATAACAGCCACCAAGTGCCAATTGGTCTCAAAATGTAGGTTTAGCCCTATAAGCCCAATACACTTGAAGACGTGGAAAAGGGCTCTTTACTTATTACACTGTCCAAAAAAGTAGTAAACCAAGACATTTGTGACAGACTGTCTGCAGTACAACCTAATGAACAATTGTATCAACTATAGTTGTTAGTGAGAATATATTTTCCATTTTGGAAATTTGCAGTGGTGTTCTACTGTAAATTATGGGAATGTATATTTTCTACCCAGGCAATTCGCGATGGTGTCATCGAAGCGACAATAGACCACGAGAATGGCTACGTCCAGTCCAAGGAGACCGGGGATGTCTACAGCACCAAGGAACCGATGGATGCTTTCCACCAGAGAATCAGTTTCTGTCTGGACATTCATAACCAGTCTGTGAAGGTAATTGTGATTGTTTCATTACTGGACGTTCATAACCAGTCTGTGAAGGTAATTGTGATTGTTTCATTGCTGGACATTCATAACCAGTCTGTGAAGGTAATTGGGATTGTTTCATTGCTGGACATTCATAACCAGTCTGTGAAGGTAATTGTGATTGTTTCATTGCTGGACATTCATAACCAGTCTGTGAAGGTAATTGTGATTGTTTCATTACTGGACGTTCATAACCAGTCTGTGAAGGTAATTGTGATTGTTTCATTGCTGGACATTCATAACCAGTTACCAATATCATTATGTAAAAAAAATGTTGCTTGGTATGCAAGACCAGGTGAGGATTATACCTTCACTTTGTTGTTTTTAAACTTTTCAGAAATGACACAAAAATTACCTTTATAATAAAAACCATATCACATATAAAGCATACATTTTTGACTTTATATCCAATAAAGTAAGAATGCAGCTCAGAACGACTACAAACGCAGGCACTGAACATGAAGGATCTAATATGAAGGCAAGAGGTCACCCTAGGAGAAGATGGATTGATGACATTAAAGAGCTTCTACATCGACACGGAATGACAATAGCCATTGCTGCCCATCAAGCAGTGGATTACATACTGTTCCTTCCCTCGACACTTAACATCAGAAGTGGAAATTGATGATGGTGACGGTCTAATAAATGTCAGTTCATGGAAAAGAGTATGGGAGTACAGCAGCGAGTGTTGGAAAATGACAGCTGGTATTACACATAGAGACTTTTCAGATACAATATTTCCAAGGCAAAATAGTGTGGATATTTGGGCCAAACAAGTTGATACATAACTATGGAGAGAAACAGTGTTCACTACTAGTAAATGGTATGAGAGGAAAAAGAGGACTGGCTGGCTCTGCACCACTTGGTAGTGAGTTGATGTATGACGTTAGATATTGTGAGGGCCCTTTGGGAGCGAGTGAACTGTGGAGAGGCACTGATAGGTCATTACCATCTAAGGAGAATAGCACTGCAAGGAGTTAACAGGAGATCTGGCTGACGCTCAACACTCAGGGAAAGGATGAGACAGATATACAATCAGACGGTTACTGGTACCATCGGAGTTGAAACTCTTGGCTTGCTGCTGAAGATGGGGACTGAGCACTTATGGAAGTGTCCTGAGTGCTGTGATGTCGATTCTTAATTTAACAATAAAAAGATACAGGTGGCTTGGACATAATTACAGAATACCCCATGACGGTGGATGGAAGAAAAATGAAATGTGAATGCTTGACTTTACATTGTACAAATTTGGTTTTAAATTCTTTATAGGCTATTTAGAATGTTGTTACTTACATCTTGGTTTCTTTTTTCCAGGCCATGCGTTTCCCACCAAAGTCATACAACAAGGACTTGGAGTCTGCAGAGGTGAGATTTGTTGATGTGTGCCCTTATAAACATAAATGACTGGTTTTTGGTGAACTGTTTTCTACCAGTGTCAGACTTAGACCCCCTTATTAAAACTAGTGAGTGCACAGTCATAACAACAGGGAGGGGATGTCTCAGAAGAGCTGTCGGAGTAACATAAAGAAATGTAATGGACATCGAACACTGGAAAGACCATGCAGAAGATGGAACACTTGCATGAACAACAACCGCCTTAAGGATATGAAGGCGACATGCAACTCACATGAAAGACCACACAGAAGATGCAATAGTGGCATACAGAACAACAGCTGTAAGATATGAAAGCAACCTTACATTTCCTTCGGAGACAAAAGAGGAAGGAGGGAAGAAGAAGATAATTGCAAATATGTGATCAAGTTTCCCAACTGTATAGGCTATAAGTGTGTAGGTGTAGACAGATCTATAGAAGGAGAACCTCTTAACCCATGGACCACCCCCCCCCCCTCTTTTTTCACCCCCCCCCCCCCCCCCCCCCCCCCGATCTCCAGGTAATAAATTGCCCCAGTTGTGAACGTTTCCGTTGAATCCAGCAGTATAACCATTCACAATTAGTGTTGTTCAGTTATGTATTGTCTCATTTGTTTTTAAAAAAAAGTTAGGTTAATAGTTCTTTTTCTATTACATTGTTGTATAAGGAAATATGGTGCCAGGTTCACATTTTTGGGGACCAGACAGTGAATGGAGGGTACGGTCCCACTCTTTCTTTACCTAGTAGAAAATGTTGTGGTCAGTGTTGTATGACCAGGGGAAAGTTTAAAATTCATGACCATATGGTTATAGAAATGTCTCACCTAATGGGTTTCATTTGGCCTGATTAAGGATTTCTTTCATTATTAAGTGCTCCAGTTCTTTTAATTTTTTCATAATGAGGTAAACCTCAGCTCACGATACCAGAATTCTGTAGTGCTGACAAAGATTCGGATGTTTGTGAATACTGAACATTTGATACATGATATATTCATTGGGGGGGGGGGGGGTTCAAACATGTGCAGTTTGCTGTGCTTTTTTTCGATTTCCAACTGCCAAAGTTTAAAAAAATATATATATACATGCATCATTTCAGTTTTTCTAGCAGGTCAAAAAAGTTAGCCCTGATACTGTGTGGGTCTTGGCCAATTCAGTTTCATAGAGAACTGCTATAGTGGAACCTTTCATTGAATACTCTCTGTATTTTCTGGTGGTGGGGGGGGGTCGTAAGTCTGAGGATTTAAGGGCACAGGGCTAGTGCAGTTATCACAAACTGTGCAGGTTAGGATTGTTAGTTTGTCCATCATAGAATAGTCTGAAATAGTATTGGTATCATATGACATCTCTCCCCCCCCCCCCCTTTTTTTTTTAACGGAGTTCTGTTTGGTCACTAAAAATATGGGCATGTATCATAGTGTAAATCCATTTGCTTATTTGACTTGTTATGTCTTTTAGTAATCTTGTTATAATACACCCACAGGAGAGGAGAGAGCGAGAGCAGCAGGAACTGGAAAGTGCCAAGGAAATCGCAGAGGAAGACTTTGATGGATTTCCTTGATTAGTAGGCGGCCACATATATATATATAATTTTATCTGGACAAGGTGTCTTGTCTTTTTGTGAGTTAGGCTTTTGGATATCGTTTTGACTGAATGCATTTTGTTGGTAAGATGTAAGGCGGCAACAGAAATACAGTCTTCAGAAAGTGTGGATGTATGCAAGTATTGTATTGGTTGTTATGGCTATGTAACATGTATATTTTATGTTTTGGCCATCACTTTGGCTCTTTGTGGTTAAAACTAAGTCTTCTCAAACATTATCCGGATGGATCCATAGTTGCTCTGGTCTCCTCAGAAGCTCCACAAGGGTAAAATGACTTATGATGCCTATTATTTGTTTTTAGTCTTTAGTTTTTCCTTACACTCCATTTATCATCATCGTCTCTTTGCCCGTCTAGCATCTTATTTATAGTATCAGGTGTTATTTTGCTATGAAAGATATGTGGCATAAATAGGTCTGTCTATTTATTTAAGAAAGGGAAAAAAAAGAGTAAAAAAAAGAATGATGAGGTAGAAGAAAAGACGTTTTTATCAATATAAAAATGAAGCAAAATGGGGAACATTTAAACAAAAAATCCCCCCAAAATCTATCTATGACCTTGTCTGCCAGATCAACCTAGCCTTGAATGAGTAGCAGGTGGAGTCCTGGGAAATAATTGCAGCCGGCCTGTTGTTGACCTTTAAGTTCCAGTTGGTCTATAAAATATAGGTCTAGCCCTGTATGCTCCCTGTCTGAAACTAACAAGTGGTTGTAACCTTCCTCTGTTGTCCCATCTGCATAGATATCACTTAACACTCCTGCTGCTGCCACCTAGTATTTTCACCACATAATGTGAATCTGTCTGTTCCAACTCTTATATTGATGTACACTTAAACATTTTGTCTTTCCCTTGTGGTTGTCAGAACCTGATATTCATCTTGGCGTTCTAGGGTATTCTCCACATTCTTCTCAAAAGAATGGGTCGTTAGTGGAAGAACAATTAATCAGGCTATCACTCACTCTAGACACTTGTTGCTTGTCTTTTTCTGATTCTTTTAGAATAAAAAGCCAGATGTCATAATAAATCCATCATTTATGACATGATCATTACACAAATTATGATAATGTAAATAAAGATGTAGAACTGAATGGTGGGACGTGCTTTTACAATTAGAATGGAGAACTATTTAAGAGGATCCTGAACTACAACAGACTAATGGAGGGAATGGAAGATGGCTTAGAGAACTTGTGACATCCAGAATCGAGGCTTACAGAGGGAAAATAACAGGAGTGCAGCATTGAGTGAAATGTAGTTACAACTTGTGAACTGTTGACCTACTTGTGCTTGTTCATGCGAACATTCACAAATGTATGAACATGTCTGACAATAAAATTAAAGTGATTTATTTGTTTGTGTTTGACATATTTGATTTAGGTCTGTCATGAATGCTCATTTTTTGGGTAAAAGTATGACCTGTTTTTCTGGTGGTATGCAGCACTCCCACTTTTATTTTTTTTGCTTCATGTTTTAGGTTTTTTTTAAAGACACTTTGTGGTGAGTACCGGCACCTTTTTTTTCTAGAAAAGGCACTGGGTCTGTATGTCTTATGTGACCCCTGTGAAAGGGTAGTTTGACCCTCTAAGGGGTCACGACCCAGTTTGAAAACCACTGTTCTACATGATGATTTAATTCACACGGAACCACCCAGTGATGTGGTTAAGGTGTCACAGCAGGTCGCGTCGCTTTATAGAATGCCTGGTCATTATTTTATAATAGTTTTATTGTCTGCATCTTCATCCATTTTGAATTCTGTAATGAGACTGACACCGACTCCCTACTGAGAGGACGTGTTTTTTTTCGAGCTCTTACTTTTTGGATTTATTATTCAGTTTGTCTTAGTGAAAGAAATATTTTTATATCACTGTGACCGTTATCCTGTCAGTTGTGCCGTGAAATATTCTGTTGTGCTTTACTTATCAACACGCGATAAAAATGTTGGATTCTTTAAGTAAAGAGTTTTAACAAGCATTCACACACTGTATGGAAACAACAGGTATAGAGTTCAAATGGGCGTGTCTCTCTGCATTGAAATGTATCACTGACACCCGATACGCGTTGGCTATCCTCCAAACGATAAAACTGGAGAACGGAACAAGCTGAGACAAAAAGGCACATTCCATGGTAGAATAAAAATCGGACATTTCAGTCGCATTATTTTTAATCCAGCAGCAAACACAGTGACAGAAGTTTTACACCCCTTCTGCCTGCTCCGTGGAGAAAAATGTGCTGACCCTGTTAACTCTTTTTGACCCAGGCGGGTCCGGCAGTAAAATAACAAATATAAAACGTGTGTTAAGATACCTGTGGGGAAAAAAAAAACCACAGTAAAGCAGTTTATTGACCCATTTTACTAAATAAATGAAGGGAGATCAACATTTTCACATCGAGTCTAGAGAAATTAGCGAACACGTTTAAATTCGTCATTTAACCTCGAGAAGGACACTTCACGTCTGTGGAATCTCACAAAAAGCTTGAATGGAGACAAGACGGAAAAAACCAGAGTTGTACTCCAAACAGACGATGGAGCTGTTACTGGCAAGGTAGCAGCAGATGTGCTAGCTGAAACACACCAGAAGGAAACTGAGGTTCATATTCCCATGCAAAGAATAAAAGAAGTACGAAACCAGACCAAGACTCTTCTAGCAGACTCTAGCACAAAAACAAAAAAGGCCTGCAAGTCAGAAAAGTTTACTATGCAAGAGCTGGAAGTTGGAATTGGAGAGTTGAAAATGAAGAAAGCTCCAGGGGCCGAAGGAATTACAAACGAATTTCTCTCTCATCTTGGACCTGCTGCCAAGAAGTTTCTCCTCTGCATCTACAATCAAGAGCTGGCAAAAAGGGGTAGTGCCGTCAGCCTGGAAGGAAGCCCTCATCCAGCCTATCCTTAAAAAGGGTGGAGACGGAAGAGACCCAAAAAGCTACAGACCTATTAGCCTTCTTAGTTGTGTAGGAAAATTGATGGAGAAATTAGTAAATAGAAGACTAATATGGTTCCTGGAGACAAACTCAGTAATCACCACCACCCAGACAGGATACAGACAGCACAGAAATACAGAGGACCAGTTGACATATCTGACACAGGAAATTGAGAATGCCTTCCAGGAAAAAAAAGAAAGTTCTTGCTGTCTTTTTTGACCTCTCTCGTGCTTTTGATACAGTTTGGAAAGAAGGCCTACAACTAAAACTGCTACAGGCAGGAGTTGTGCACAACATGTACAAGTGGATCAAAGACTTTCTTTTCCAACGCAGAGCCAGATTCAGAATTGATGGACACATCGGCAAACTGGCAAAACTAAGAGAAGGAGTTCCCCAGGGCAGTGCTATTTCACCAACTCTGTTCCTGGTTTACATTAATGATATCACAGCAACCTGCCACCAGCACGTTTCTAATACCCTTCATACCGATGACTTTGCAGTTTGGACAGCCTCCGAATACACTACCACAGCCTCATATCTGTTACAAAAAACTGTGGAAAATGTAGAAGCCTGGACCGAAATTAGCGGGTACCACATGGGGCGCTAATTCTAGAATCCTAAAACAAGTATATACTGGAGCAGTCAGGCCAGTCATGGAATATGCCTCCACTGTATGGGCTGCAGCAGCCAAGACAACAATGGGAAAACTGGACAAGGTTCAGAATATGGGATTAAGGATTGTTCTCGGAGCCATGAAAACCACCCCCATCAGAGAAATAGAAAAGATAGCAGATACTGAACCACTCGAACTCAGAAGACAATACAAAACTCTTTTACAGTATGAGAAATTAAAAAGGACTTCAAAGTCACCCACTGCATTTTAAATTTCAAGAGAGAACAAAAAACAGACTGAAGCGTCAGAGCCCCAACCACCTTGCTAGAGAACTGTACAGACAGCACCAAGATCTGCTTGAAAGAGATGTTGCACTGTGCGAAAAACTTAGGCCAGAACCATGGACAAGCAAGCCAGAGAAAGTAAATGTAGTCCTAAAGGTACCAGGAATCACTTCAAAAGATGCCCAGACGGAGACACAACAGAGAACCCTGGCTCTTGCTATGCTTGATGAGAAGTATCCAAACACAACTTGGACTCAGGTTTTCACCGACGGCTCTGCTACAGATGCAGTCAGAAAGAGGGGTTGTGGAATTTACATTAAACCCCCTTGCAGTAGAGCAGAAACTCTCTCTCTACCAGCAGGTGACATCTGCACTAACTTCAGAGCTGAGGCAACTGCCCTCCTCTCTGCAGTCCAGCATCTCATCACTCAAGAACACAGAGGGCACCAAATTGTTATACTTAGTGACTCATTGTCTGTTCTCCAAGCACTATCCAGCAAAAAAAAACAAGACAAACTAACTGCTGATCTAAGGACCAACATTGGCTTACTCTCCAAGGAAGCAGAACTGGTCTTGCAGTGAATACCAGCCCACTGTGGTATTCAAGGAAATAAGAGAGCAGATGAGTTGGCAAAAGCTGGGAGTAATCTTCCACAACCTCATCCACCACACAGCTACAAGGAAACCAAAACAGCGCTAAAGCAGTCTTTCAAGCGGGAGTGGAGAAGGCAGAATGGTGATTACAGACCAGAGAGTGACAGCATAAACAAACTCAACAGGAAAGAACAAACATCAATGTTTAGACTTCGGACTGGACACTGTGGTCTTCGAGCACACTTGTACAGGATAGGCATAAAAGAATCTGCTGCCTGTGATTGTGGAGCAGAAAGACAAACCCCAGAGCACATACTACAGTACTGCCCTAACTTCTCCCAGCAAAGACTGTGGATCTGGCCCAAAGGAGCCACATTGCAAGAGAAGCTATGGGGGACCGGTGGCGACCTTAAACGCACAATCCTATTTGTGACCCATACGGGACTCAATGTTTAGCATTACTGATATCGAACGCAGAAGAAGAAGAAGAAGAATTATGTAATACTCTTGTGGTAAATGTTTTATATGTATGTGTGTATATATATATATTGTG